CATACAACCAACAGACCAACTGATGGACGGAGCAGCTGACCCACAGACCATCCACCCAACAGACCGAACAACAGACCGAAAAGCTGACCCACAGACGGTCCAACCAACAGATGGACTGACCAACAGACCGACTAGCTGATCAAAAGATCGTCCAACCAAAGACTTTGGTGTTGAGAAAACTGAAATCAGCTCACCTAACAGAGTGTCAGCAGCTGCAGCGCCATATTTTCTTCATATTTTTCTACAGACAGAACCAGTGGCCCCTCCCACTCTGCAATGAAGCAGGGGATGTTGGTGGAAGCAGGTTACACTGCTTTGAAGTTTTTTTGTGCAAAGAGCTCAGCAGGAGCACAGACTGTTACTGCTGCTGAAAAATGTACTGAAGGAAACTAACAAAATCCAGTTTAAAAAATGGCTGTCTCTGCCAACATCTACTGCCAAAAGTCTTTTGCAGTTCTTCAGTTTACTTTCAGACACAAGCAAACTATTTAGTGTTGCACACAGGTGTTGATTTTATGAGATGAAATGACGACTGTGACTGACAGTTGTATAAAATCACCTAGCAATCGGGTTAACATTTGAGACTGTTTTTAAGTAGCTAAGTAAAAGCTGTAAAAGTTAGTAGTAGGTCCCGGGTAAAGTGTCAGCATCTTGAACAGCATAGAAATAAAACCAGAGCTCTGTCACAGTGTAGCTGCCAAGCATGCCAGTGTTACAGGCTGTTTTAAAGCAGTTAAAGTAGATCTGTCCTGTTCTCTCTTATTGTCTGTCACATATATCCTTTTCATTTTAAACATTACCAAAATTTCAAATATTGTGCTCAGAGTATGTAGAAACAATCACTGAGGCTGTGCACAGCTCTAAATTAATTTAATCTTTTTTCTCTGTTCTTGGAACTGTATTTGATGCCACAGACAGAGACAATGTCCTTGAATGGTCATCTCATTTCACCCACTTCTGCTAAAGGGGGGCAGAAATTAAATGAAAGTTGGTTTACATTACAGGGAATGAAGTGAAGGCCTAATGTTTAATTAATAGTGGTTCATTTGAGCTACTCTGGCTCACGATTAATAATACAGAACTCAGAATTAGCATAAGAGGACCCTTTCAACACAGAAGTCAATTTAATCTCTTAGTATAGACATGCCTTGTATTAACGGTTGGGGTTTAGTTGAGTTAAGTTAGGTTCGGTTCAGTTGAGTTCAGTTGATGAGTTCGGTGAGGTGGGGTGCGGTTGGGCGAGGTTGAATTGATGAGTTGGGTTGAAGTGAGTTTGGTTGAGTTGGGTTAGGTTAGTGTAAACGATGTGCAACAGACCTGACCACATCTCAGCGCTTTTCTACGTACACTTTTCTTTATTGCGATTACTGTTCATAACAATACTCACACTGCAGCTTTCCAGCTCACAGGAGAAGATTAGTAACTTACATGCAGTGGAAAACAATATGGTTGCAGGTCATATGGTCATATGTTTAACAATTGCAGAAGTTGTTAATAAAATCCACTGAGTGAGTGACTGTGCTAATGTTAGCGTTTACATACTTGAGCCGATTTTGTCCTAATTTCAGTGACTGCATCTTAAATAACGTTTTTAAAGATGCCGTTTAGCCTTATTCTGTGCTGAATGAAAAGAAACTGTAGGAATGTTTCACACTCAGTTTGTAGCAGCTTCACACTCTTACACTATTCTACTGTTCATGTCAGACGTACTGTTATAGTTACAGTTACTATTACACTTACAGTTATCCAACCCTGTCTTTCTTCCTTTTTGTTAAAGCATAAATTTTATTTCTTATATCTCTAAAATCTCCTCCTGTCTTTTACAGATGGAAAATAATGCCGTTTTTGGGATTCTCTCCAGTACGGGTTTTCAATTTGATCAACATTTGAGCAATTTTAGAAGCTATAAATTTTCCATACATCCGAATGATAACAAATGTTAAAAGACCCAGTTTCTAATCTCCTTCTTAAAAATAAAACCTATCTGGCTGTGCATGTTTGTTCTCTCTGTGGAGTCATTTCTGTTTTAAACTCATTTCGGTTTTGGTTCAAATTACCAAACGTGGGACCAAACTCTTCTTTCTCGTATAACTGGGGATGAGTTCCCTCTGTCAGCTTCTTCATGCCATTAAAGTGAGAAAGGTGTAGTCTGTGTGGGGCTGTTGGGTAATGTAGTGCAGAATGTTTTCATTAAAAACACTAAGTTTAAAGTTGAAAAGTATCTTTGTTGTTCTTTCCTTCTCAGGCAAGAAACTTTTGTGGGATCCTGCCCATAGAAAACATAGAACACTTCCAATATTACTACCAGAAGAGCATGAGAAGAGTCTTGAAGGGTAGACTGCCCAAATTAAAAACAGGCTGCTGCCATCAGACACTGAAGGAAACCTGCACAGGTGAGCACACCTGAAGTTCACATAGTGACCACCGTTGTCAGTAACAACAGTGGTGTCCTGGAAGCTGTGCAGAACTCTTTAACATTTGGATCTTAAACCTTTTTTTAAGTGAACAGCACAGACAGCACGAAGACCCCAAACACCCCAAGAAAGGGCGTGCGCACACACACAACCACTTTCACAAACACATACACAGACAGACAGACACATACACACACATGTTGGTATTACAGCAGCGCCGGAGCGAAGAGAGCGGCTGTATCCCAATTCAGG